AGGCATGGGAACTGCAGGGAGGAAGAGGAGCATCCAGATAAACATTTCTCCACCTGGCTACTGCGTGCGTGCGTGCGTGCGTCCTCACTGTCCTTTCTGTCCTAACGTCTCTTTGCAAGCCAGGATGTTAAGGTATGGGACAGCTGGCTAGGTAAAGCTCCACTTTCTGCTTCCAGAAATCCAGACCAAGGATGGTGTGAATTAGTCCCATTTATTCTGTCTCTCTTTTTTTGTCCTCCCACCTGTTTCTCTTAGGCCAAGACCATAACCTTCTCATAAAAGGATATTCACAGAGAGGCTGCATAGGACAGGTCCAAGATATACATTTTCCCTTTCTCCTGACACAAAGATGTTGGATCTGCAGTGCAGGACACTTCATACAGGCCAACAGGACATGAGGCATGAAATGGAAAGAAATTGAGAAACTGCAACTATCAGAGGAAAGAGTCAGTTTGTTCTGGTGATATGCATGGACTAGGAAAATGGCTGAAGCCAAAAATCAGTTCCCATGGAGACCTTCTTTCTGGCTGAACTTCACTACCTGCTATGCATGGAGACATATCTACATATTCCAAAATTCGCCACAGATTCCAAATGTTTGCACATTTAGATACAACAGAGCAAATACCTTGCTTGCTCAATTCCATTTCATTCAAGTGTCATCCATACTAACAAAATGTTTACTTTACTTGATATACTGAAGCTGAGCCCCAAATAGGTCCAGGATCTGATTGATGGAAATCAATAAGCTAAGAGAAGCATTTTTTAGAATAGGTAAATGAGAAACTGACAGCACATTTCTATATTGTCAGATTAGATTAAAAAGCACCGGATACTCACTCATTTTATATAAGCTGGCTACCTACCTTTCTCCAAGTGGGCACCACTGATCTGGGGAAAAACTGAGTAAGAGCATTGGGGGAGACTTACAAGCCAACGATGGGAGATCTAGAAAATAAATGTTTTATTGCAACTAGGACCAGGATTAGAATGAGATGTGTATGGTCATCATGCAAGTGACTAAAGAATGTTTATTGCAAAGGGCTGTAGTTTTTGTTAAGTCACAAACTGTGCCATTGATTCAGCTTTACCATCTTCGTTATTTAATCAGCCAAAGGATGACTAGCAGATCAAGTAAAGCAAAAAGGATTGGCCAACATGTGAATTGTCCCCTATTTATTTCTTTATACTTAATAATGAATCACTCTAATGTTATGCAAAGTTACTATTTAATAAACCACTTCCAAAAAACACAAAACAAAACAAACAAATATATATATGTATATTTTTTTATCCTCATCCGAGGACATTTTTCCATTTTTTGCTCAGATAGAGCGGGAGGGAGAGAAAGGGAGAGAAAGAGAGAAACATCGACGTGAAAGGGACACATCGAGTGGCTGCCACTCACACAACCCAACCAGGGCCGGGGACAAACTGCAACTGAGGTACATGCCCTTAGCAGGAACCGAACCCAAGTCTCTCTGGACTGCAAGCCAACACTCCAATTGCTGAGCCAAACTGGCCAGGGTCAAAAAATATTTTTTTGCATTATTTTCATTCTAAAGATTTTAAAATAATTTTGACTTTTTACATTACTTTTTTTTTCATTTTTTATTAATTAATTTATTTTTGTTACAGATGTTTCTCCTTTTCCCCCCACTGATTCCCCCCTCCCTCTCCCTCCCTGCTCTGTCCATGTCCACTGTTCATGTATACATGCATATAAGTTCTGTGGTTTATCTCTCCCCCACCACCCCCTCTTCTGGGGATTGTCAGTCTGTACCCCACTTCCACGTCTCTGGGACTACCCCATTCCTCAGACTGTTATGTTCATTATATTCCACAAATAAGTGAGATCATATGATAATTGTCTTTCTCTGTTTGGCTTGTTTCGCTTAGGATAATACTTTCCAGGTCCCTCCATTACATTACTTTTTTAAATTGAAAACATTTTATACCCAGTTATTCTTCAAGATAACCATTATACTTTGGTATGGAGCAGAAGTATTTTATGCATATTTCCCAATTTGTTCCAGAGAATATTAAAGAGATATACTTGAGAATGAAGATTTAATAAAATTAAGAATTTTTACTACTTCATCAAGGACATTAAGTGAAATAGACTTTTTTAGTGTAAGTACACAGTGCAGAAGTTTGACTCACCATTATTTTTGTACCATCAATGTAGTGAAAAAGGCAAATAACAACTTAGCATTACTATAAAATCACTGTGATCCCACAAGCCCCTTGAAAGGGTCTTGGGAAACCCCATGGATCTATAGACTGCACTTTGAGAACTGTTGCCTTAAAGGATAAGGGATTTTGTGTGTGTGTGTGTGTGTGTGTGTGTGTGTGTGTGTGTGTGTGTATTTTTAATTCTCACCTAAGGATATGTTTATGTTTATTGAGAGGAAGGGAGAGAGATCTATATATAGCGAGAGAAACATCGATGTGAGAGAGAAATATCAATCTGTTGCCTCCCGTAGGTGCCTGGACCCGGGATCAAACCTGCAGCCTGGGTATGTGCCCTGACTGGGAATGATCCTGCAACCTTTGGGTGCTCCGGAGGCACTCTAACCAACCAAGCCACCCAGCCAACGAGATAAGCTTTTATATTTGTTTGTTTTTAAAGATTTTTAATTGATTTAAAGACTTTATTTTAGAGAAGAAAGGAGGGAGGGAGGGACATTGATGTGGAAGCATAACAGCATAACATCCATCAGCTGCCTCCTGCACACCCCCTATCAGGGATTGAGCCGGAAACCCTGGGATCAGGCCTGCAACCTGGGCGTGTGCCCTAACCGGGGATGGAACCAGCAACTTTTCAGTGCACAGGACAAAGCCCAACTAACTCAGCAACACTGGCCAGGGCTGGGGCAATAAGCTTTTAACAGAGTCAAAACCATTACCCATAATAAGCTAGGATGTTCAGTCAAATGGGGGCAACAAAATTGTGGCTATCCCCAGTTAATTTTGCAAAATTAAGTAGTGAAGAGTTAAAGCAAATGGACTCATCTGTCATATAAATAGTTCTGAGCAATCTTTGAGGCTAAGGGCAAGATGTGGACAAGTTGTGAAAGGATCTGAATGCCATGAATATGATCTATGAACATTTTAGGGCAAATGAGTGGAGAAGTCCCACTCCACCCCTCCCTCCCCTCCCCACCTCTCAGGAAGGAGGGAGCAGAGCAAACTACAGCCAGGCAGGAAGATCCACCGCACATACCACTGGACATGCCTAGGCTGTTCCGGATCCTGGGGCGCCTGCCTGGTGTCGAAGCTCTCTCCTGACACTTCCTAGCCCAGCCCTGGGCAAATTCCCAAACCACCATCTTATCCATCTCCCCCTGTGTAATACGAATATAATATTAATACCTTCCTCATAGGACTGCGGTAAGGAGTGCCCGAGACGATGCAGAAAGCATTGAGCCTAGTGCCTGAGAGAGTGAGCATTCAGCAACGTTACCTTACTAAAAATAAGAAACATACTTCTGTACTGACTCACTGTCAGGGTTCAGTAGCTTTCGCCATATGTGCAACTGCCTCATCAGCCCACAGTTTTGCCAGTGTCAGGTGTTCAGTAAAGGTTACTTCCTCCCTCCAGCTAGACTGGGAAGCCTGTCTGGACCTGGCGTTTCATCCATGCTTGGAACGTATGGGCTTTCTCACCAACAGGAGAAATGTGAAGCTTAAACGTGAAAAAGCATCCATGAATGGGCAAATTAGTCCATAAAAGCAGAAGTGTTTATAATATGGTAGAATTATGCTTCACCTTTTCCTAAAAATGATTTTACTGGTATTAAAAACATGTTTGAAAAACGAAGGAATTTGTTTTTAAAGACTGAAACTAGCAAGACATTTAACTCACCAACAGAAAACCTTATCAACCTTGCCCTTTTGCTATTTTCTGTGGCAGACAAAATAATGCCCCCCCCCCCCGCAAGGTGTCCCCATCCTAATGCCCAGAATCCATGAATAGGATCCCTTACATGGCAAAAGGGACTTTGCAGAGGGGAGTAAGTTCATAGCTCTGAGATGGGGAAATTATCCAGGACGATTCTGGGGAGCCCAGTGTATTCACAAGGGTTCTTAAAAGTGGAGAGGGGGGCCAGAGTCAGTCGAGGAAGATGTGACCTCAGAACAAAGGCACAGAGAGATGCTCCAGAGACAGAAGCTGGGGCCACGTGACAAGAAGCATGGGCGGCGGCTAGAAGCTGGAAGGCACGAGGGAACACATTACCTCCTAGAGACTCCTGAAAGGGGTGCAGCCTACACAGCACCTCGATTTTAGCCCAGTGCCATTCATGTGGGTCATCTGAACCACAGAATTGTAAAATAAAAAAACTGTGTTGTTGAAGCCACTGGGTTGGTGGTAATTTGTTACAGCAGTAAACAGAAAATGAATACAACCCCAAAGGTCATGCGGGGTATGCTTCCATGCACACTAAAATAATAGCCAGGTTACCAGGGTGAGGACTAGCAACTCCTCTGGCTTCACCAAACTCTTCGGTATGGCGTTTGGCCATTTAAATCCCACAAAATAAGATACTTGCAATTACAGACAGTGCCCGCCCTTGAAGATTTGGATTCAAGAGGTTGGGACACAAGAATATCCATATTTAACTGGCTATTCTTTAGAGATGGCTGGTGGTCCACATTTTGAGAGACATTCATTTCTACTCGTAAGGAGTTGAAAATGTAGGTGCTGGGTAAATGTAATAATTCCAATCCCTAATAGACACATAAATATGCATATATCCTACACAGGTCAACAGCCAGGGATAAGGGTGAAAGGCTGGAAATGGACCGGAACACATAAGTCCTTCCATATGCTTGTGTTAACACAAAACTGTTTGCAGAATTAAGGCGGACGAGACTCCCGCCCGCCCTCTCCCAAGTGGCCAGTGTTTCAGGGCTCTGGCCTTCCACTCTCCTGGGGAAGCACCCCTGATGAACGCAGACCGAGGCCAGAACCCTTCCTAGCCTCCCACCTGTCCTACCTGTTTCTTTAGGAGGTGGTGACGGGCTGGTCCAGGGTGTGTCATCTTCAAACTGAACCCAGTTGCTGATGGCCGAGGCCAGGTCAGGTGGGGACTGCTCCGGGCTCCCAGGAGGAGAGGCCGCTTCAGAGATGAGGCCCAGCTTCTCAGAGGAGTCATCCTGCTCCGAGTGGGAAAGGTCCTGAGAGCCTCCGTCCACCACGTGGTTCTCCCCCGAGGAGCTCTCGGACTGGTCTGAGGAAGAGGACAGTCCCGGGAGGTGCTCTTCGGTGCCCCCTGAAAGAGATACCGGACAGCACCATGACATCCCGTGTGCAGGGCCACTCTTCAGAACGGCCTCACGGTGGAACAGAGGATGGGAAGGGGTGATCACAGGACTCACCATGACAGTGAGTGGGGTAAAGAAACAGCCATGCCCACCCGCCTCTATGCCAAAGGAGTGCTTTCCGGACGATGTGTAAGAACTGTAACCTCAGCATGACCCTTGCAGTACCCGGGAAGGCTGAGACTGGGGTAGCCTGTTTGCTATCCTTACCCCAACACCTACTCCAGGAGTGCTTGGTGGGGCACAAACAAAAATGCCCGCAGAGGCCAAGCAAGAAACATAACTGAGTCAAAGGAGAAAAGCAAAAGACAGTGGGGACGGGTGGAGAGCACGGCTGAGCTACAGAGCTTCTGTCTGGACTAAAGACATTTGCATTCAAACTTCAGACTGTACAGTCCTAGTTACACACGCTGCAGGCGACCAGGTGCCATCCCTGCACCGATGGTCAGCTGGATGCGGCAGAGGCTCCTCCCCTCACTCTCTTTCACTTCATTGGTTCTGGAACATTTAACAGTCTTCAAATTATTATTATTTTTAAAGAACTATACTCTGGTTGTGGTGGTGGTGACACAAATCTATACATGGAAAGTTCACAACTGTACATCAAAAGTGGTCCATTTTACTTTATAAAACTTTAAAAACTCAAACTAGTTGAATAAATGAATCAAAACCTTTAGATTAGCACTGTTCAAAAAAATTATAAAAGGGAACCTTGTATGTAATTTTAAATGTTCTAGTAGCCACATAAAAAAAGTAATAAGAAACAGGCAAAACTGCTTTTAATAATATATATTTCAACTCAGTGTGTTGAAATAAGTCCAACACATAATTGATATAAAATTCGGTAATGAAAGATTTAACTTTTACTAGGTCTTTGAAATTCAGTGTGGGCATTTTACGCTTGCAGCACAGCTCAGTGCAGACGAGCCACACTTCAAGGATTCATGTTGGAAGCACACCTGTGATCACACTTGCCAGGTGCTGTAGGTGGAGCGGGTGGATTTGTTTAGCAGAACCACCTGCAGAACAGAACCAGCTGATGTGGCTCTGCAAGTAGCTCCCGTATCCTACCTTGACCTTGACCTTCGTCCCTTAGCACCCGTTCCCTAGAGTTCAGCTCAGCCATCTTCATCACGAGCGTGGCCGACAATTACTGAGCTCTTTCCACGTGCCAGGCACTCTTGTAAGTACTTCACATACGCTAATTCATTTACTCCTCACAACCACCAGGAGGTAGGTACAGTGATACCTCGGTTCTCGAACGCCTTGACTTTCGACCAAATCGGTATTCGACCAGGAGATTCGAGAAACTTTTGTCTTGGAATCCGAACAAATATTTGGAACTCGAACTTCCGAGATGAGCCGAGTTGAGCCGAATGGCGTTCATTCGGCCCCGCGCGCCTTGCTCGCGTCATCAGTGTGAGTGCAGAGAGAGTCACGCTTTGTGGAGAGAGTCACGCTTTACACTGAATTTAACCCTTAGACATACTGTACACTTTTATTTCTTGTTGAGACTTATGTTTTTCTACATATTATATACAAATTAGGCCAGTAAATAGGCATTTTCTGGGGCTTGGAACGAATTAATCCAGTTTCCATTGTTTCCTATTGGGTTTCATTGCTTCGGTTCTCGAACAATTTGGTTCTCGACCGTCCTCCTGGAACGAATTATGTTCGAGAACCGAGGTATCACTGTACTGTGATGATCCCTACTGCACAGATAAGACAGCCACAGAGAGATGCGGAATAAGCAATCCATCCAAGGGCACATCACTCATCTGTGACGGAGCTGGGGTTTGAGCCCGAGCAGTCTGGCTCTTAACAACTACACCTTAAAGACTGAAAACATCCAAATTGCTATTTGGAGTAACAACGAAAAGGGCTGAGTGTAAAGTACACAGTAAATATAAAGTTTATGCTCCTTGGAAGAAAGAAGTCAATATTTTTAGTGTTTCCAGGCCTTGTTTGGGGCCCCAAGGATCCTAAGATGCTTCCCTCCAGGTTTCTGAGTAGAAGAACCTGCATCTCACGAAAGTGACAGACTGGCTCTTTTTTTCCCGTAGGAAGATCCCATATGAATAATCAAGTGGAAGCCACGAGAGCAGGTGTGGTTCTTGGCAACCTTCTCACTTAGGAAATGAAAGCACTCCTTACCCTCAGGAGGGACAGGAAAGAGTGGATCCTCATTGAAGGAGACCCACTCGGACTGCTGGGTAGCGATCACATGGTCCAAGGTCGTCATGCTAGGAAGTTGCTGGTCATCTTCATACGGCTGGCCTCAGGCAGAGCCCAGAGTCATGTCTGGGGTGGGGTAAGGGTACAGTAGCAGGGTGACCTTGGGCCTGCTATCGTGGTCTTGCAGAAGACAGCACTCAGAATGTAGACAGATTAGCCCCTCTTGCCTTTGGTTATCTGCCAAGCAGAAATCTGTTTAAAAAAATAATAAAATGTAAAAAGTATACCATCACATTATACCCAATCCACACAGGTCTAGGGCTTTCAACTCTACCCATTTTTCTGCGCCCTTGACATGCCCCCGCTTCCCAAAGGGAAATATTGGCCTTTAGCATCAAGACCTCTCTCTGCATGTGCCTTCCTATCAGACTTGTGAATAATCACATAAATTTAAGCAATAGACTCCTCAATTATTACACTTTCAACTATAATATAATGCCATCATTGTAAAACAAATATTAAAATTGTTCAAAGTGCTCTCACATTATTTTTCCAAGTGGTAAAGTAAAAGCATGTTCTTTCCTATTAAATGAATGCAGTTTCTTGCCGTAGGCAGGTAGCTCTTTGCAAGCCTGAGTTAAATCTTTGGCAGAAACCCAACAATCTCCAGATGGTATCTCCAAGCACACTTTACCAATCAAGAAAAACAGAAATGGAGTCATTTTGTTCACTTAGAGTAAGGGGGTAGGGCATATTTGCTTTAGTGAAAAATGTAAGTTAAACATATCTTTATTCCAGGCTGATGTGAATTTGGTACATGACAGTTTAGCCTTTACTTTTAGTACAATTACGTTCTATGTATATAATAAGATACTTATAATTTTGTGTGTAGTATTAATGTTCTTTTACAACTTGAACCTCGCTCTTGTTCTTATAATGAATTAATAAAATCTCAATTAATGCAAAATTAATGTGTTTCTGCAAAAGAGCTACTATCCACCTTGTATAATATTAGTTCTTATTAACTCACTACTCACAATAGTCATTTTAGTCTAGAACAATTAAACTCACAGCCTTCTAACTGGTACACAATAAAAAGGAAATGTTGAGGAAATTTTATTATAGGTTATTATCTGCAGTATCTATGCTGGGGAAAATCAGCATAAAAACATTAACAGCTTTAGGTTTTTTTTGGTCATTAAAACAATTAGTTTTGTTGTAAACAATTAGTAATGTTTCCTAAAAACAAGTAATGTTTATTTAGAATTTATAATTTTCAGAAATATATGTTCATACCATAATTCTTTTGATTCAACAGTCATTTTAATTGAATAAGACAGGTATTAATATCATTCTTTTACAGATGAAGAAATCTAGGCTGCATAAGTGATTTATCCAACACTTCTAGGTTCTTTCCAGGTTCTTGTTTGTTTCCTAAGCTCCTAAGAAGTTTCCTCCAGGCTTCTAGTGGAAGAATTCTCACATTCCAGGACAGTGACAAATTAACTTTTTTCCCCATAGATTCCACCCAAAGGATGATCAAGCAAGAGGCCATAACAAGCAGATGTATTAGATGCAGCAAGCTAGGAAGTGATAGATGCAACCCTTAAACCCAGGTCTTTTGATGCCAAAACATTCTAATCTTTGGGTCACAGCTACAAAAAAAGTACTAGAGAAGATATATATAAACTATCACCCAACGGAAGCAATTTACAAACATGAATTACAGTGGAACCATGATGAAATGATCTGGGAAACTCCCCATGTGGCAATCAACCCGGGGACCGAAGCTATAGAGAGAATGCAAAGCCCAGAAATTTCTCTCCAAAGTCCCTCTCCTAAGATCCTTACCAGCCACAGACCAAATGCGCAAACCACTTGGAGAATGCAGTGCTCCAAACCAGATCCTCCCAAAGAACCGCACAGAGCCCAGGCCCAGAGAGCTGACTCCACAGGCTTCTCCCTGAAAGCCTTTCTCAAGCCCAAGCAAATGGTCGAGTCACTCAATGTGGTAACGGCTTCAGGCCAAGATAAGACAGTAAAGTTGAAGAGCCAGATGCCTCCTCTCCCAACAACAGCAACAAGTAAACCAGGTCCAAGAGCAACAAAGAGCCACACACACGTCCATGTGCTGACACACGCAGTGTCGCAGCTCAGTGGGGAAAACATCCTGCAGATCCTGTGATGATGAGTCCAGTGAAAGTCGCAGTAGGTGGGGTAGGGGTCTGGGGAAGAAAAGAAGGAAAAGAAGGAAAAGGGGGAATACCTGGAAATTTTAGAGCTTGAAGGATTTAAAGACCAATAGTCCAGCTCTCAAGTTTTACAGATGAGGAAACTGAGTCTCAAGCAAATTAGGGTTAGCAATGGAGATAGAGAGCATGGGCCCAGGAGCTAGACTGTCCAGATTTGAGTCCTCAGTTCACCTCTGAACAGCAAAAATAACAAAACTCAGTAATTCTGAGGATTAAGTAAGATAATATACACCAGTACTCACCTCTGGGAGTAACAAACCCTCTGTACCAATGACAATAATTGCAGGAGACCTCACAGAGGGCTTACTGTGCACCAGGCCCCATCCCAAGCTTTTTATTATTGTTGGCCCCAGCCATCACCGCTGTTGTTAAATGACTCACCAAAGTCGCACAGGTCGTTAGTAGAAGTTTTGGGACTAGAATACAAAGGTCATGGAACCATCTCATTTCTGTCATTTACACATTCTAGCTTTAGTGATGCCCCTTTACAGTCATCTTTAGAGCAGTTCTCCTACATGGTACTCAGTCTCCTCTTTACAGATATCGGTGGATGCTGGCTGAGGGATCAAGACTACTAATCAAAAATAAGAATAAAAGAAGAGCCCCAAAGATCTATCTACCCCCCTTACTCGTGAATCTCAGGTCCAGACATGGGCTGGTTAGAGATAATTAGTAGTCCCAAGCCTGGTGGGACAAATTTTTTACAGAGAACTCCCCATCACAACCCCGTGAAACGGATGCTAGATGTTGGCCACGATACGACCACATCGTCCAATGCGCCATCGGACGCCATACCTCAAGGAGTGCTGTGCTAGCAGCTGGTGGCCACAGAGGACCCCGATAATTATGAGGCTTAGTTCACACTGGAATTGGTTTCTGTGTGAAAACCTCGCCCCATTTTTAGAACGTGAATCACAAAGTGAGGCTTAGCATCATCACCACAAATGAGCAGTGACTCAGCACCAGCAGCAGAATTGACCAAGAGACTAAATGTTTCAATGAGGCCTCCAGGTTGCCATTTCAGAGAGAGGCTTCTTTCTCAGCGACCCTTACACACTCAAATTTGGGGCTGGGGAATGCAGCAGGCTGACAGGATGGGAGTCACAGGAATAGATCTGTCTTCCGTCAATCCTGTCCTTGGCATGCATGAGCCCCGTGTGTCCAGAAATGCACCAGGCACCCTCAAGCAGTCTGAAATCTAGCTAGGGAGATGGAGGTACACCGAAGAGCACACACAAGAAATCCAGGAATAACTGCCTGCTGGAGGATACACTGGAAATGCGGTTGAGCCACAGAGACATCTACGAGGGCTGGGAGCATACTGGGCTGAGCAGGTTTCTTGGATTTGAAGGACATCCTTGCTTCTGGGAGAGAAGAGTAAGGGCATCCTTGAGACAGAGGATCGGCCTAAGTGAAGATTAAGATTCAGAACTTTGTGGGCAGGTTTCTGGGCCAGAGAAAAGATCAGTCTGAGGAGAGCTGAGATGTCTACTGAGGACAAAGGACTGATGGCCTTAATGACTGGGAAGAAGTGCTCAGTGGGAAAGGGGAAGCTGCTGAAGGGTTAAGAGTGCAGAGTGACTCAGAAAATGTGCCTGCGGAAGATTGATTCTACTGAGCAGGAGCTTGGCGATGGAAGCTACTGGCCACAACAGGACCTCACTGTGTCCCAAAAGTCAGGGGTCAGCATCATCAGGAACATGTACTGGGGACTCTATGCTGGGTCCACTCAGAGTCTGAGGGTTCAAGGAAGAACAGGACAGCAGACTGCAGGGAGGTGTGACAGCAACATAAAACAGTAACACAGTAGGCTTTTTTTTTTTTTTAAGCCTCGCCTGAGGATACTTTTTCCCATTTATCTTCAGGTAGAGTAGGAGGGAGGGAGAGAGAGAGAGAAACATCAACGCGAGAGAGACACATCGACTGGTTGCCTCCTGAATGACCCTGACCAGGGCCAGGGACCAAACCACACCTGAAGTATGTGCCTCTGATCAGAACTGAACCTGCAATTCTTTGGTCCTTGGGCTGACATTCTAACTGCTGAGCCAAATTAGCCAGGACTAACACAGTAGGCTTTTTAAACTAATGACAGGCGATCCATCAAAACATGAATAGCAGAGAGTAAGGGCTTTAAAAGAGTACTGAGGGCTTGAGCAGTAGGCGGTCAGGAGCTACACCTCAAACTGGAGGGGAGGGCTCTGAGCAAAAGAATGGAGGAGCAAAGGTGTCTTCGAGGGGGGAACAGGAATGGCACGTCCAGTTGACAGTGACTCATATGCTGTTATCTGAAGAGGTGGGAGTGTATTGAATGCACTGGGAAAGGGGGCTTGGAACAGTGACAGCTCTGAATTCCAGAAGGAATTTGAGCTCTTGAAACTACCTTATCCGTTCCCACTGCCAATACTTTGGTTTAGCCCCTTGCTGTCTCTCTCATTCAGACAATTACCAGCCCCTGATCAATTTCCCTGACTTCAGCATTGTCCCTTCCAACCTACTACACAAACTACTGTGCCAGAGTGGTCTTCTTCAAGCCTGAAAGTGCCCGTGCCACAGCTCAGCTTAAAAATGCCTCAATGGCTCCTCACAGCCAGACACTCCTTTCCACGGTCCGTTAGCTAGAGCCTGCTTCTGTTGCTTACAACCAAGAACAGACCTGGGGTACCTTTCCTTGGCTCCCGCTTGTCCCTCCCTCATGTCGTCTGTATGCTGATAGTATTTTATCTAAACTCATTGATCGAATTATAATGAACTTGTTTGATGATGTGACTATCTGTCAATTAGCCTGTGAGCCTCCCGAAGAAAGGAACTGGGTCTTTTTCTTGTGGATGCTTCCAACTCTTAGAATAGGATTTGGAATTTCATAAATGTAGGTGAAATTAGTGGCTGAATGAATAAATAAATTAATGAATGCACAAATGAACTGGTTTTACCATGTAGTAGGTAGCCTCTTCAGGTCTTTTGAGCCAGTAAATGCTTTAGGAAGGCTAATTTCAACACTCT